AAAATGGCGGATAGAGATTCATGTAAAAAAAGAAATGTGTGGAGTGCCCCAAAAGAAAGACAAATCCTGCTCATATGCAGCGAGCTTGAGATTGCGGGGCAGCTCGATGTCTGTGCTACCTTGGCAAGCGTAAGTTTGCCGATTTAAATTTTAAATCTACGCTTATTAAAAGTACAGCCTGGCCGCGAACTAAGCCGTGAACCATTTATACGAGCAGTTCGCGTCTAATATAAGCCGTTTTCGTATAAATGGTTCCTTTTGCGTCTTATGTAAGCTGCGGCCAGGGTAAGCCGCGGCTTATTTTCTTTCGTATAAACGGCCCTAATGTAGCCATCATGGGTAACTGAAGTCACAAACGAAAGCGCGCGCACAAGAGCAAGCTTTGCGGGCCATTCTCGTCTCCAGAGCCTCGCGATTCGATGATCACTTGACCAGAGGAAACGGCCAATCCCATTCGTTAGATCTCCCACGACCATGTGCTTTGGAACAGCTTTTAATGGTTGTATTCTGGAGGCGAGAATGAGGTGTGGCCCGCCTTCTCGGTCACCCTGGAAGCCAGCACTTCAAGTGACTCTGCCGTCTGAAATACAAGCCCCAGTCATAGAGTACTAAAGTGTGACGTCATAAAAATGAAATTTCTGAAATTATTGGATTTGTCCGGATATTCTGAAAGAACAATGTCCAAGAGGCCTACTTGCCAAAAATGATCATTTCGGGGCAAAATGTCTCTGAGATCGTAGCCCAGTTATGCTTAGAAAACTCCATACAAACCCTTCTAATTTTTTTTTGGGTCGACCCAAAAAAAAATTTGGGTCAGAGAGAGAGACAGAGACAATTTGCCCCGAAATGCTCATTTTTGGCAAGTAGGCCTCTTGGACATTGATCTTTCAGAATATTCGGACAAATCCCATAATTTCAGAAATTTCATTTTTATGACGTCATCACTTTAGTACTCTATTTCAACGAAGTTTAGCCAGCGCACGCGCGAACATCATCTATTTTTTTCTTAAGAAGACAATTGAACTGTCATATTGATGGGACAAGATTTCCTTCCGGACCGCACCGCCGACGGAGATTTGTTGTTTACATTCTCAAGTAATATTCTAGACTTTCGAAGATTTAAAATTTGGCTCGCGGCACGAAGACTTTTCTCGATTTTGTCGCTAGCTCGGCCGCTTCGCCACCCGAAAAGCTCGTTCCGCTCGCTTTTAAAACAGCTTTTCTGCCGTGAAACTCGTGTCAGAGGTCAATTTATGGCAAATCCAGGTCCAGTAATGTTTGCTGGCGTTCTAGCCTAAAAATACCCTGTGTTCCAGAGGCTTTTCATGCCCGGTTTCGGCCGAAGACGTGTCGGCCTGTGGCCGACGAAGCTCCTCGTCGCACGCGAGAAAAAACCTCTGGTACCCAGGGTAGCCTAAAAAGTTCGAGAGATAAAAATAAAAATTCAATCTCAACGCGATGAAGCATCGAAAAGGTTAGTCAAACATAATATTATGATTTCATTGCACTCGTTTCTCAAAACATGTAGTGCCTGTTTGTTTGATTTTAACGGCCGTAGGAAGGTTTATTTAAAAGTTTACTAACGCGTCGTTACAAAACGCTTCACGAAGCTTATTCCATAAGATCTCTCAGCCACATCCATGTCTCAATGGTTCTTTCTTACATAGTCTTTGTTGTTGCCGTTCCATTTCTGCGTATTCCTTTCACGATTATCTGAACTTGTATGAAAGCTGGCGGGAGAAATAAGCTTTCAACTGGCATTTAAGCGCTTCCCTTCTCTTGGTCCTCCAGCCAACGGCAATGAAAGTAACGCCAAAGCATCCCGCGGTGATTTCGCCCAAATCGAAACTTAAAAGGGACAATATATCATTGATCTGTAATTCTGAGAAGTATCGAACTCGGCCAGGCCCGATGCAAACGGATTTTTCAAGGTTCTCTTACTCTTCTCGCATCGTTTGATTTCGCGACAGGATGAACAAAAATCAAAATTCTGAGCATGCGCAGACTCGGGATACTGTTCCTTTAACAAAACCGCGTGCTAAGCCATTTTCAGTTTGGCGAACGCTTTTATGCAAACACCACTGGTCGTGAACAGTTTCTTTGAAGCATATATAGTAGACTAGAAAAGCATTTGCAAAGTTAAAATAACCACTAAGAAAGAGATTTGGAGGTTCAAAGATTTCCTAAACCGAGGTCTAAGTTAGACTTCACTAAAAAAAACGACCCTAAGAGTTTTTTTGAAGCCGAGGTGAAAATATGCACTCAGTTGAGCATAATAATTTATGCTTGAAGTTAGCACGGCGACCTGTTAGTTCTAAAAACATCACTGCCCATTATACAAATTTTGACGTACTCTTTGCTGAGAAACATGTTGCAAGCAGATGCATAAGTGTTCAAGAGACCGAGTCACGAGGCAAGCATGTGAATACAGCATCAATGTCGAACTACTTAAGTCACAGTCGTTCGAAGCCGCCAAATTCAAACCAATCAAAAATTAATTTGAATTTCAGTTTTTTGTGTGGCTGTTATAGCAGACTACAGGACTGTACTTATGATTTTAAACAGTAAAAATACAACAAAATTAATTCCTCAGATTAATTAAAACCAGTGTTCAACTTCAACTTCATTTAATAAAAATATTGATTACAATATGATGTTCAGCGGTTTAAGATACCGAAAACTAACAAACCCGTGGACTTGATCATCTGTTTGTACTAAAGGCTTGTTAAATATTAAAGGACATACATATTACCAAAATACCCAGCTTCCCAGAATCGAACCCTCTTTTTTAAACTGTCAAAATAAGTGGGTTCTTCCTGACAATGGGCACGTGTGCTCACTTCTTGGAATAAAAGGAAGACGACTGAATGAAAACAAAGCCAGTTTCATAGCAACACAGCTTGCCCTGAAGCATAGATCTACAATGGTGCCTAACTTAAGAAAGGTGCTGCACAAGAGGTTTGAAAGAACAAGAGTGGCTCAATTCCCAGCCTGCTGAACAGGCGTTATTTTTTCGCTTTTTTCAGGCGAGCAACGTTAAGCGCGAAGCGAGTGAGGGCGCTCCACGCCCGCTTCGTGCTAAACGCTCACTCGAAAAAAGCGTAAGGGGCTACTACTCACTTCCATTTGAAGATAGTGGGTGGGTTTCACTTACCAGTTAGTGGAAACTTAGGCAAGAATGTATAAAATAGTTTAACTATCTTTTTATTTATCGCGAAATTCTTCGCGCCTGAGCAAAATAATGTCGTCCAAAAGGGGCCGACAATTTTGATAGACTTCAGAGAGAGAGGCGGCTTCCTTTTTTGAGGTTACCATTACGTCACTGTTTTGATAGAAGCGGATTGGTCGAGACTGATTTCGGGGATTTCCCCGGGAACTTTTTAGTCGCGGAAATAATTTAACTTGCTTGCTAGCCGGAAAGAAGTGAAATGAAGTGAACGAATGATCGTGCCAGAAGATGCCGCTTGTATCGCGAAACATTCTGCTTTGTACACTTTTTTGTCGTTAAAAATTCCGACAAGTAAAGAAACCTGAAGCTTTATTAAAGTTTAACCTGCAATAAGACGCTGTCTGTACGATGCAGTTGAAAAGGTTTTATAGGTTTATATCTTATCGGTTATTAATTTTTATATATAACTCTCACCACTGCGACAAAACAGGCTTGAACAGCTTGCGCTCTAAAGATACGTATACGTCTATGGTTACAAATGGTATTCACCCCTTATATAAACCGCTTGAAGACACCCTTGAAGACGTTTTTGAACTGGTTGAGATGTTGACTGGCAGTAAATAAAATAGTTTTAAAACTTTCTTTCCATGTCAGAGACTCGAAAGTAATCACTATAGTGAGTTTTAGTATTTTTCCTTCAGGCAGCCTCATCCTACGAAGATTCCCAGAAACAGAGGACGCGCTTAGAGATGGGGCATCGATTTCATAAACTTGCTTGAAAAATATTACACGTTTAATCTCTCTCATAAATAACATCCAAGTTATACAATATACAAACGTAACCTTTACATAACATATTATTCATATATAACCTATTTTCTGTCCAAAATAATTTAAAGTTATACAAAGAGAGCCTTGGCACGCTTTTAATTTGATGATGGTACCTCCCTTTTTTCTCGGAAAAATGTGTAAGCAGCGACCGCTATGCGCAATCTTTTCAGACTCTTTATATTACCTGTGTGGTTGTTATGGTCGTGATCAATGTCAGTGAATTGCTACAGTGCTATAAAGGGTACTGATATTTCCTCAAGTAGACTTTAAGTTTTGCAGGAATGGGTAGCTTGTATACCCCTTCTCCTATTACATGACGATTAAGAGTCCTTCGACATAAATGTTGCAGACTGGAAACTTCTTTATATAGGGGTGCTGTAAGAAATAACATTGGTCCTCGGTCACGCTTTCTTGTATTCGAGGAAATCTGCCGCAAAGTTCGCCTCGATAGCAGCATATAATAAAACAGCATTTTCACCACACAATCAAATCTTAATGCAGTCCGCTGACTCGAGCTTGCAGGGCGAGTTGTGGCCCCATTGTTCTCAATTTGATCCAAGGAAAATTTTCCGTCGTTCATGACAATCCTTATGTTTGTCACACCTGATTCTGTCCTTAAACTCAACGTAAATAAATGTTTAGGATCAGAGCTAGCTCTCACAAGGAAAGTTCCAATGTGTTTGTGCATCAATAACGTTTTTGACTGAGTTGCGTTTATTGCTCCCCAATAAAACCCACTTGTCTGTAAAGTCTGTAGAACGTTGTCAAAATACGACGCTGGTGTAGAAATAGTTGATGTTGTTGACATAATCGTTTTCCATCGCTTTCCTCGATAGTTTACGTTGTAAGAGTGAATTGTTTGTGTTTCTCCGTAACATTTGCTAGACTGTTCTTGATAACAAGAAAATTCCTATAGTTACACAACGATGAAATTCAATAGAGTGCTTTTCTTCGAACCGCACAGAACAGACGATTCGTCCACCGGAAGTTGTTTCTCGGAATCGGCGTCATGATATTTCCGCTTTCCGAGAAAATAGTCACGCGAACTATTTAAGTTCATGAAATAAAACCGCTTCCATTTCTGAATCATCTCTGAACCATTCAACGAAGCATTCCGGTATAAAGAAAAAATAAATTGACGAGACCAATTTTAATCCCGTGTATAATAAGCAACACGGAATATCTACCAACTTTAAGAGACGCTTGCTATGCATGAAATTCACAATAGAAGCAAAGTTGTTAATTTATCTTCTCTGATGACTTCCGTTTATTGACCCCAAGTAGGATTTATCGGATTGGAATGTTCACCAGCAGTCCATTTCATTTCATTTCTAGGGGATTTCTTTAGACCTTTAAGAGAGTTTTCAATCACCTGAGAATAAGAGCTGTTGTAACTGTATGTTAATCAGGCGATTTGTGATTGTTCATTTAAATGACAACTTTACGGAAGATCTGAAAGGAACGAATGGCTCCGGTGAGACGTGCTAAAATGCACCATATTTAATACATTTCCTGGAAGAGGCAACATAATAAGGTACACTGATTGGGTGAGAGGCGAAAAATAACTCCAGTACCCTTTATTTTTCTGTTTTTTTTAGAAACACATTTCAACCCTCGAATCCTAACAGCCGTTTGTCGTTTATTACATTGTAATTTATCTTTTAATGTACCCAAGTAAATTGCAAAATACCTATGCTCGAGTTTAGTAAAGAAATATAAATTGCTTTATTTGTTATTTTGATTAATTAAAATTTACTAAAATATTCAATAAATATACGCATTAGTCCAGGACTAAAATGCTAACAAAGTGAGTAAATATTTACACTATAAATAGCAAGTACAGTTCCGCGCCAATGTTGGACACAACGACTAAAACACACGGCATAAAATTATAAAGACAGGGCATTATCACTGATACAGAAATTTTCTATGGTCCCGGGGGGAGTCATTCCCTTTTATAAGCCATGTGGGCATGTGCCGCCCCAACGGGTAGGGTTTTTGGGCCTTTTTGGTCTGAAAACGGGTATACACTTTGCCCATTTTGGTCTGGAATCGGGTATGGTTTTCGAGGGAACTACGGGAGTGTATGAACGTACAGTTCACGTTTCAACTCCAATTTAGTAAGAAAGGAAGAGAAATATGCGAATTCGAAATGCATTTGTAGAATTTTTTTTGGTTGGAACTCTAATCTATGTAATGATGACATAATTTCTGCCTAAAGGCCATGTCTGAAAACGGTATGGATTTTAGAGGTTTGGTCTAAAAACGGGTGTGGAAAATGACATTTTTTGGTCTGAAATAGGGTCAGGATTTGAAGAACTCAGCAACACACCCCCACCAAGAATTCTCCGGAGTACCCCCCGGGTCTACTGTACACTTGAGGATTTTAGCAAAACCAACAAAACTCATGACAACTGAGAAAGGAACATGAACATGGCCCTGACGCTATGTTTACATTTGATGCCTGAGAACTATTACCTGGGTACCGGCAAAAAACGGTGCTTTGTTCACACTTTGGGTATCTGATGTAACTGTGTAGATATTTGCCCTATTTCCCCGTCGCACGCTATTTTTAAACTTGAGCTTAGCAGGAAGTTGTGGGTATGAAAAGAAGAAGATTGCATTGGAATTAACGAAACACGTGTGCACACAGGGGATCCCGTGACTACTTTCGTGACTGAATTCTGGCATGGGGTACTTGTAAAAAGGGGTGTTCACAATAGTGCCCAGCGAGTAGCCTCTTAAAGTCATTTTTAACACGTACCGTTATCCAGAAAAATTCCTGTGGTTCTGATGACGAGAAACTGTTTCAGAGTCTAGACAGTTCATGTTTCTTGATCATTTTCTGAATTCTCGTGACCTTGAAGTTTTATGATGGAGTGGTATTGTAGGATTGAAGAAGAAGAAATTACTGAAATGTTTATCATTGTTAGGGCTCAAAGGGTAAGCAAAGATTGCCACCAGAAAACAAAAACAACGACAACGCAACGAACAAAGCGGATAAGAGACATCATTACATAAAGTGCGAGATTGTTTAGACGAGTACCTGTTTTATAGAGTGTTTTCACTCACGTGACCAGCATCTACGTAAATTTATTGGTGTAAAAGAAAGTTTTTCATAACAAATTCAAAAGAGAATTTAAATCCCACAGTACTGGTTTGGGACACCAACATGGCCGCCGTTTCCTTCTTCTGGAAAACGAATACGGCGGACGTGACGTCATGTGTAAACTCCGCGAGCAGGTTACAACAATAACAACATTTTTTTATTCTTACATTTTAAAATTGCATTCTACCCGAAAACAGCTAGTTAGCTAATCAAGGTGGGTAATGAGGAAAACCGGATGATTTCTTCAGGCAATTTCTGCCTTTGCTAAAGTGTTTAAGTGAAATCGTGAACGTAGGAGATGCAAAGGCGAACTTCAAAAAGGGAAATTTTATCGCGCGAGAAAATATCGCTACTTTGCAGGTTCACTTCTACATATCGGTTACGCCGACATGACGTCGAGAAAAGAGTGGCTTTCTACGAAAGAGCAATCTCAAAACTCAAGGCATAATTACAACACCTGCCTGTATCCTAGGTGACGGCTCATCAAAATAAGGGACACTTGTAAGCAAATGCGAGTCATCATCGCCAATGCAAAGCTTAGCGACCGCTCCATGATCTGAATCCGTGAATTGAAACTGACCAACAATATAAACGTCAGTCTCTTGGTCAGCTGATTTCTGATTCACTGCCGCCCTGATTCCCCAGCACGGTAGGAACAGAGATTTCAAAATCATCCATTGACCGGTTTGAGGATGGAATCTCTCTACCGAAGCCTGAAGGTCCGAAAGCTGACCCCTTTGCATTTCCGCGCCACCAAGCGCGTAAAGAGACCCGCGCACGACCACGACGTCATGAAATGCGCGTGCGCGCTTCATGGGCGGCGCAGTCGACCATCGGTTTTTCTGTGGTTCGTAGACCTCAACTGATGAGACGGCAAAATTGAAGTTTCCTCCTCCGCACGCATAGATCTTTCCTTCGAGTGAAGCCACACCTAAAAAAGATTTAACTCGGCTCAAGGTGGAGTTTATTCTTTTCACAGCGCTCTGAGTTTGTGTTTTGAAAGGAAGGGATGTTGCAAAAAGAAAAGTACGCAATGGAGCGAGTGCATGAGGCTTCAGCTAAAGCACCGTTCATAAATGTATGTTAGTGAAGGCTTATTAAACCTTGAACAAAAAAATATGTAGGAGAGGGAAAGCAGAAATAAAGCAGCGGGCAAAATTTAAAGCTGCTTGGGCGGATCAAACTGGGAAGACTGAAAGTTTGTTTACAAATGCTATAGAGCTACACACCGTACTATAACCAAACTGATAATCGACTTGATCTATGTTTGATAATTTTCACTATAGTCATTGCAAATATCATCTTCACCAAATTTGTGACCAATTATTTTATTTCTTCACAATTCGCACCTTTGAGGTTTAGCTATAAATTTATTCCTGCTAATACAGTATTTCTGCCCTTTTCGCCCCAGTCCTGCATTTCGCTTTGTTCAAGGGCTACTAAGCCTCGCTTATTCATACCGCTTCTTAAATTTTGAGTCTTTTTCTTATCTGAAACGGTCGCGTAATAAGAAATCGTGACGATAAAAAAAATGTTTACCCCCTTGAAGATAGTGTGCTGACAGGTCTAATACATGACAACAACCATTCGATCTCATTCTTTCTTCCAAGACCTGAACAAAAAGCTTTACCATAGGCCTACAACTTAGGGCTATAAAATCTGACTCCACGTGTAATTAATAGACCTGAATTCTACTAAAAGGTGGAAGGCGAGTGCTCTCACTACTGCGCAATCCATTTCCCCGTCAAATAGAACAAAAGTTCCATTTAGAGCTCGCTAATTTTACCCACCTAATTTTACCCTTAAAGATACAAGAAAAGGTAAGACGAGGAAACAAGGATATGAGGTCATACCTAGGCATCAAACTGGGGTCGAGAATGAGGTATGATTACGTACCTAATGCTCCTCTTCCTATGCGCATGGGTGAAACTACCTCCCACTCGTTTGTGCACGGATTGTACTTCTCAACGGTCTTCAGACCTTCTCGAAGGAAATCATCAGTTCCGCCAATTACGTAGATGCATCCATTCAAAACAGTTCCGGATACTTGTCCTTTGCAATACTTAAGAGGGGGTAGTCCAGTCCAAGAATCCAGCTGGGGATTGTAGCATTCTACGGAACTGAGATTCGCGTCAGCACTGACTCCGCCCATTACATAGATGAGGTTGTTGAGTTTGACAACGGCTACAACGACAATGCGATCATAAGTGAACAGTCATATTACGGTTATGAACCCAAAAGGGATGTGCTGCTAAATAACTGATTTGCTGCATTGGTGGGGACCTGAAAGAGGGAACGCTAGTGACCATGCACCGGAAAAAGGCTAATAGCATACAGGCACTTAACCCTTTAAGCCCCGGTATCCACATACAAATTCTCCAGACTGATCTCCTTACATTTCCTTTAAGAATGAGTTGAGAGAATTTGGTAAAAGATCAAGGCATTTTCCTTTAGGTGATTATTTTATTAATTCTCATAACCTGATCTCTTGACATTGCATGGATAGAGCGGTTTTCATTTGAGTGTCGAAAAGTAATTGGTTTTGCACTTTCTACTCGATGCGATTGGCTTAAAAGATTCGCGCCACCTTTTCATCCAATCAGAAGTAAAACCAAAGCCAATTGTGACGCGCACTTTGCGTCAGCCACATGTAATTACTTCGAGTTTTGATTGGTTCAATGTATTGTCTGTGTCCTATGTGATTGGCCAGAGTAATTACTTTGGTTTTGGTTTTACGACACTCAAACGAAAACCACTCTATCGTTAAGACAAAATTGACTTTAGACACTATTGGGACTTAAAGGGTTAATAACATATGTAATGTCCATTTTACAGTTACGGGTGCAAAGGAGGCTGGAGTTCACACAACCCTTCCTGCTTTATCATGTAAATAATGTTGTTCTCATGCTAACTTGTATTTTTTTAGCATGATTTTCATAAGAAAGTGAACGCAAGGTCAACCTTAGCCTCAAGTTCATTCGGAGGCTAGGGTACTAAGCTCATAACTGTAAAATGTTCTATTGCGGCGGCAGTACATCTGGTTCAGTCAACGTAATTGCGGCCGATTTTGGTCCACAAACGTAGCACTTCATGTATAATGATCAAAGTACGATTTAACGCTGCAAGTGCTTAATGTCAGGAGCACACTTCAGTTGCTAAAAGCAAGTATACCGTTGTACTGCGCTGTTTTTCCTCTTTCTTTCTACTGATACTGTGTTTCGCGAAGTTAAATAAGCCCCTCCTCTCTCCATCAAGGGCCCCAACCCTAAACCAGTCAGACGCAGGAGGCAGCGTGGCCGAGCGGTTAAAGTGCTGGACTTGCAATCCGGAGGCCCCGAGTTCAAGTCCTCCCTGACCGCTGATTGGATTTGTTCTCGGTAGTCGCAAGTTCAAATCCTCGGGCCAAGCTTGTAAAAAGCCAACTGGTTCGCCTTCTACCAGTTGGGATTATTAACCATATTATGTTGCATTTGAGTTATTTGTTTCATTATCTGTGAAAAGCCCCATCAGCGGAGTGGATAATTAAGTATTTATATTTTACGCTAACTTGAAGTATACTAAACGACGCACTGTACCTGCTGATTCTCTTGCCTCACGCATGGACGCCATTTTCCCCCATTTCTTTTCATCTTCCAAACAAAGGACGTCTGCTCGGTTTAAATATCTGTCAGGACTGTCAAATCCCGAAAGTCCTCCAACAATACAAAGTGTTTTCGCAGTTGTGTTTCGTGGAGTTGTACGTGGAGTCTGAAGCAAGGCTCTCTTTTCTGGATGAAGTTGGTAGGTATTTATCTCCTCAACAAGAGCTTCACAGCCTGAACAAAGTAAGATAAAAATTAATTTAAATAACAACTATAGTCGACTCCCGATAACTCGCGAACCTTGAAGGGAAATCGAAAAAAGTTCCAGTTATCGAGAGTTAGTCGAGTTGTCGGGAGCTCGAAGCAAATAGCCGGTAGCAAGGGCAAAACCTGTTTTTTCTGTGCAGTGAACATTTTAATCACATTTAACTGTAGAAACGTCAAGTTAAACTGGTATGATACTTCTAGAATATAAATCAGAACGTAACGTAACAAAACATAGCCTAAACAGAGCATGCGTTTAACTGTTTTGAGAAGCAAAGCCGTTTCACGTTAGATTTGTGACAAACAACATTAGCCTCCACAAGTAAGCTATATGCCTAAAACACGTCAATGGAAAATTCAAAATTCAATGTTTCGGACGCCAGTACACGGTTTTTTTTCCCTGACTTAATAAGCGCTTAAAACATGGTTCGAGTTACCGAGGGTAAATTTATAGAAAAATCATCCAAAGGGAAACAAAAATTACTTCGAGTTAGCGGGAGGTTCGAGTTACGGAGGGTAAAATTACGGTAAATATATGAAGGAAATCCAAGGGAAATCGATTTTGGTTCGAGTTAGCGCGAGGTTCGACTTAGCGAGGGTTCGAGTTATCGGGAGTCGACTGTAGTTTGTTTAAAATGACCTGTCCTATTAATTGCAGAGGTCCTGCCTTTAAAGGGGGTACATCAAGAGAATATTGCTGTTTTTGGTCAATTTTGTGCTTGAAAAAAAGTTACTTGAAAAAACTGACCTAACGTTTTTAAGTTTCAATCGATGTCCAACTGATTGCCATCCATAGCAACAGACGCCAGGAAACAGTTTTAGCGCCTGAATATAGTCTTAAATAACGGTCAGTGGTCACCAAGCAAGATGGCCACGTTTCCAGTATAATATCTATACTGTATCTATTTTTTTGCTGTCATACCGTAAAATTCCAAAACTAAGCCCCTCCATGTATGAGCCTCTCCAAATACAAGCCTCCCAAAACTTGTAACGCGTAAAACACTCCGTTAAATCACCCCTCCAAATATACGCTCCCCCACTCCCCGGGGGGCTTGTACTTGGAAACTGCCCTCAAATACAAAGTAAAACAAAGAAAAACGGTAAATTTCCTTCCAAGAATAAGGCTAGCCCAATCGACTTTTAAATGTAAATTTCCCTCTGTACATAAGTCCCTCCCAAAATAAGCCCCTCAAAAAGGGCCTTTAAAAAATATGAGCCTCGGGGCTTATTTTCGGAATTTTACGGTTATATACAATTTTATTAAAGGGCACAATATTAGTCTACCTAGAAGTACCCCTCTCCTACTTAGTATTATTTTATTTTCTGTAATGAATAGTTCTGCAATTGATGCTAAGTGGAGAAAGTACAAAATACAAATACAAATAACAAAACTGAACTCTTACTTTTACTGAAAAGTGCTAAAATAAAATCCGCATTTTGCAAAAAAGCCGAGAAACAAATGGTACTAGAGCTGAATGGTTTCACGTTGAATGGTTTGAACCCAAGACTTACGTAGAAAAAAACAAAGGTCACTGTGTGGAGGGAGGTACATGTTCATTCCCTAAGAATTCATGTCCACGGAATTAAAAGTGAACTCAGCCAACATGTCTCCACAGTTGACTCTGGGAAGAAAACTCTTCTCCTTGAAGTGGCTTTGTCAGAAACGTTCTCAAAAAACATACTGGATATACGGCTAAAAGAAACAATACCAAAATTTGTAAAATATTGTAGTTAAACCACTCGCCTAGGGCTCGCTCGCGGTTCAACGTTTTGACAATCATTTCTATGATCTACAACTTTGATAAAGCGACTAGTGTCTAATCTATTTCTTTCTCGGCGGAAATAGAAAATCCGCGGAAAAAGCAATCTGACGATAACACATCACAGATTTAACGTCGTTCCCAGAGTCAATTTCTGAGCAACTACGTATGACGAAGCTCGTTGCCAGAGTTTTCACTTGCAAATTGGGAGGCGGAGAGAAACGAGAAAACAGGACCTAGCCAAGGAGGGGAAAATCCGTAACAGTTTGACGATATGAGGAAGCAGCGTGGCCGAGAGGTTAGAGCGCTGTACTTGTAATCCAGAAGCCTCGAGTACAAGTCCCGCACTGACCGCTGGCTGGATTGGATCGCGGTAGTCCCGCGTTCAAATCCTCGGCCACACATGTGAAATAGCCAACTTATTCGCCTTCTACCAGTTGGGATTCCTAACCTTGATATGTTCCGTTTGAATTTTTTTGGCATTATCCCTGAAGAGCTCCATATGGGGAGGAAATAATGAAATATTTACTTTAATTTAGACTACGCCAAGAAACAAGGGGATGTAATCAAAAACATTTTTGTCTACACTTCAGCAAGATGCAGCTCGATGAAGTCTGAACCAAACAATGGCCCCTTTCAAGATTCCATTGCGTATAGCTAAAATTATATGACTGTAAAAAGCTACAAAGAAAGGAAATGAGCTTCTACTCGGCAAGGTATTTCACTGTTACCACATCAATCGGACAACGCCTTAAGACAAAAGGCGGAAGGAAACGTAAAGGAATTTTTGCAGATGTTTATGTGGAACCATAGGACGTGACACCCGTTGTTAAGTCCGCTCGTTGCACACGGCGACGGCAGTAAATGCACAGAAAAATTATTAAAGCGACGACCACAAAGCCACAAACGGAACTGACAATTATAACCGTAATACTGACATTTGTACAGCCAGATTGATAAGAACATGTCCCGCGACAACAATACTCTATGTTGCGATAATTACAGTCGGAGTCCTTCGAACAGGATGACCCAATACAGACACTTCCATTGATGCACTTTCTATTACAACAGCTTTCTCCTCCGGAGCAAATTCCTCCGCCAGTACCGTCAGGTGTACATGCTTGTCCTAAACAATTTGAACCTAGAACACATACACCGGGCGCTCCGCAACAGCTTTCGCCCCAGGCACAGTTGAAATTTAAAAAACAAACGTGGCCAGCACAACTTGAGCCATCGACACAGTCATTATCGCAGCAAACTTGACGAAAACTACAGTCTGCTGCTGTCACACATCCCTGAACAACCAACGACGATCCACATGTCAGAATCAACACCACACAGTTTAAATGACCCAAGCAGATTTGAGACATGGAAGTTGCCATCTTGACTGACTCAAATTCTTTCACTTGCTCTTGTTTCCCAGAATACCAATAGCTTCCGGCTTGTCCAGTGACGTCATAATATTATAGCACTTTGGAGTCGCAACATTTCAATAATGGCGGTATCACTGCTCCAGGCTCGGATGGTGCTAAACACATTGTTTGGTTTTTCGTTAGCTATGCAGGGAACCTTCAAGGAACGTTCTGTCTGTGTATATCAAGATGAATGCGCCATAGACCAAACCTGCTGCTGTTACGAATGTGTTAACGGATCAAGTTGTGTTGGCTGTACCTGCGATAAGAGTTCGGCATGCGCCGATGGTGAAAGCTGCTGCAATCATTTGTGCGTGTCACTTCCGAATTGTGTCGGTCAGGATTGTTCACTAAAGGAGCAGTGTGGGACCAATGAACATTGCTGTAACCACAAATGTGAATTAGACTGTGACTCATGTCTGACGGACAGCGACTGTGATGATACTGGAGACCTAATATGTTGTAACAAAAAGTGTACCAGTTCGATTGACTGCGGAGGGTCGCTGTGTTCCACGAACTCTGATTGTCATGGCAGAGACTTCGACTATTACAACTGCTGTGGAGGATGGTGCAAAGAAATTGACTGTTTTGATTACACGCCTTTAATCATTGGCATCATCTGCGGTGCTGTGGTAATTGTTGTCTTGGGTGGTTTCTTCTATTTTCGTCGAAGGCAAAGAAGACTAAAAGCCAGTCGTCAACCATTAGTTGCAGCTGCGGAAGCTCCAGATTACGGATGTCTGTGCATCTGGTTTCGTCGTTAATAAAATGACTAAATTTAGTCTGCATTTTTTACACGGCTTCCCAGGAATAAAAGTCTAAGCTCAGGGGCGGATCCAGGATTTTTTTTAGGAGGGGGTGCACTCGTCTCTTGCTCTACTTCAACTCCAATACACCACATAGTTTTTTTTTTTTGGCAGAATACCAATTGTATTAGAAAACCGCAGGTCATCTCAGGGGGGGGGGGGGGGGCCCCCCCCCCCACCCCCCCCCCAAAACCCCCCCCGAAACTTAAGTCCGGGTCATGTCAACCCCCAAAAACGAACCCCAACCCCCCAAAGAAAACAGGGGAGGGGGGGGGGGGGAGAGAGCAAAAAAAAGGGAGGGGGCGCCCACCACCCCCCCCCCCAGCCGCACGCGTGTGACGGCATAGCATACAAAAACAAGAAGGCGGCGCGCAGGACGGGCGGGCGGGGGGGGGGGGGGCGCGCCGCCCCCCCCCCCCCCCCCCCCCCCTGGGCCGCCGCCGAAAGCCTGAGGCGGGTTCGGGGGGGGAGAGAGGGGGGGAGCGAGGGAGGAGGGGGGGGGGGGGGGGGGGGGGGGGGAGTTTAGTCTAAAAATAGGGGGAGCGGCCCCCAGACCCCTCCCCTGGATCCGCCGCTGGTTACGGCTGTCTATAAACGTCAGAAGTGTAAAAGACGAACTTTTTCGACGACCAGCAGTTGGTAATCAAAATCGTATCAGATTACTTGGTGCTTCTCAGGTTTTTCCAATCCTTACCTTTTAAAAATTTGTTTAATCTCTACACTGCAAATTATACATGAAAAGTAATCCCAAATAACCAGAGGCGAGCCAGTTGGCTATTTTGTACTTTTAGGGCTACCGAAAACAAATCCAGCAAGTTTCAAGAGGGAGGAAGGTCAGTGAACGCTAAGGAACTCGGCCATGCAACTTTCCTTTACTCGCAAGTATGACACGAATAACGAAAGTGGTCTCAACATTAAGACTTAAACAGCCAACCTTGCTAGACGCTTGTGTTTTTATCGCTTTCAGTTGCGTCACGTTACATGGTGAACCTCTTCTCTTCCTGGCACCGTCGTGTTGCTTCTTTGTTTTTCGTATTTAGTTAATTTCCACTTTTGCCGAATTCGGGTTCTCAAAAAAACCTTTGTGTTAGTACCTCCTCCCCCACCCGATTGGGACTCGGGGAATCTACTACTCACCAGCGTTTTTGAGTATTCCAAAATTAGACCCCAGTAATTCCATCAACAAGTTTCTCGGCACAAGTGGAAGTCGAATATTTTTCATAACATCAGGGTAATGTTCGCGTCTATTTGTCATGTCATGACTGATCCAAGCCAAGGCAAATTTTAAAACACCTTCTTCATTGCAGCAAATATTTAGGTTGTTTGATGAAATTAACTTTTTTAAGATGTCTGCTGGTATGGACAGAAATCCTACAAAGAAATAAAAGATCATGTTTACCGTGAAAAGAGCTTGAGAAGTAACCATTTAAGGAGGGGGTGGTAACCTGCATAGCATGGTGGTTTTGGTTGGGCGCACTAAGTAATATAGGCCGGCGAGGGCAGAGAAACCACGACGGTATCAGGTTAAGGGATTTCAGAGAAATTATGTTGTAGTTTTAATGCACTTGAAACAAAGACAAGTGTCACCTTGAGATTGAAATTGTAAAAAATTTAATATCTACTCCCCCCTGCCCCTTAAAATAACACCTCACTTCAAATAAGCGCCCCATAGACTCAAAAAAAAAAAGTTAGCACTCTTGGCAGTAATTCGAGCATTAATTTTTACAGGTTTGCAAAGTGAAATGCGATACAATGTTCTCTTACATTGAATCTGCTCTTTAGGATTCTCTAAAATGAACCTTTTTTGGTCGTGATTGAGTAATGCCTAAATTCCCTTAAAGGAGGCAGAAGCCACAAAAACCTGGCGGAGTTCTCTTCATTTTCAGGGTACATAGCTGTAAAATGTCCATTAAGAAACCAAAACAACTCTTGCTGTGATGACTGTCGTTTTAGATTTTGGCACTTGAGGTGCAACTGACCTTTGAATTTTAACCCCCCTAATGCATGGTTCAATTTGACCTCTTGTCATGCCCTTCCAGGCATACCCACAGGGCGTTTGCAAATTTTTTTCTTTCTTGGTGGTCTATTCCCCACCCCCGGGCACGTAAAAAGAGGCAATTCCCCACCCCTGAGCTCCTGATCGACCTCATATACATATTTTTTAGGTACATCTTTTTGAGATCAACATTGATTTCCCTACAATAGCAAAAAGAGACATTTTCATGACTTTTATAAACATTTTCTAGAGTTTATTTAAAGAAGGATAATAAGTGTATAATGTGGGTAAAACATGAACAATAAATTAGAAAACTAAAATGTGCAAAGAAAAAACCTCAAAGGGCCTCCTTGGTATGATAAAAAACTTCATAAGACCACTGGACTGAATCTCTGTTTATCTATATATATTATAAGTATAGAATCTTTCTTAGTACAGTCTATTTATGTTGTCTTCTTACTACACAAGGCTGAAGAAATATTTCTTCGTTTCTTTTGCAAAAAAAAAATCATTCGAGTACTCATCAAACCCACATTCGTTGGAAATTTTGAAAAATACCTTCAAATACAGACTTTAATTTTGATAGGCAGGAGCCCATCAAATGGAGCCTCCATCTTCATTAATTTCTTGAGTCAACCCTTTCCCCAGTAGATTTATAAATAGAACGGCTTGTTTCCCGCGAAAAGTGTCATATTTCCGTGAGTCTCGTATGTCACCGGGAAAAAAATGAAGTTGGATGAAGTCGAACTCAGAAGCCCGTCCTTTGACCGTTTTGCTTTTTTACTATACGTCCATTTTTACAGTTTTACAGCCGCTGGGATCTGGGATGAAATAAAAGTTAACGAATTACCCGCCTGAGACTGAGCATGAAGCGATGGGACAAAGGCAGCGAACTGAGGATCATGGAAAGGTTCTATTTTGTTTTTTTTGTTTTTTTGCTGTCATACATCCCACATTTAAGCATGCACCTTGAAAAGAGTCGAGGATTAAGCATTCTGTGGACGATTTGAAGCTTTTCGATTATCAGCGCAGAAAAAGTGCCAGGATCATTTGGTTTTTGTCATTGCCGTGGAGTGGATTTCGCCAGTTAAGCACCGCGTGCAAAAGCGATGACCTAAGTAGCAACTAAGGAGGAATGCTTCAGAAAAATTGAAGTCTTCCTTTACAACTGACTTGTATCACCATGGGAGTTGCCTGATAAAACTGGCACTTGAAAAGTTGAACAGAAGACAACAGTTGCTCGACGGTAAAGCTAACTCAAAAGTAATTTGCTAACGGTGGAATTTGTGACATAGCGCTCCAGTCCAAAGACCCTCTTATCTCAAGAAAAACAAAATGGATTGTCTCTGCGCCAAAAGAATTATGACTGACTAACAGGAGAATTCGCAGCAATTAATGTAGAAGTTTAGGCCAATTCTTTTTTCGAATTCGCATCTGTAGATCACTTTTTTGCGAGAAAACAATGGCTGGGCTTGGCGTTAGAAAACATAGCAGGGAATCATCACACTAACTGACGGACAAGACAACCACAGTATTTATTCAGACAAACGCACTTCGGAAAAAAACTTGAAAAACTAGAAATTTCATTAATATTGAGTCATTTAGCCGAAAGAAGAACCTTATGATTTTGTTTGGCCTGTCAGCACCGGATTTCCTACTGTTTCATGAAGTAAAATAGCAGTGTCATTTAGTCGTTGTGATTGGCTCTTCCCACCATCGGCACTCGAAGTCTCCCCTGGGAACCGTTCTAATTATAAATCTACTCGGGAAAGGGTTGACTCCAAGGGCTTGTATAGGAGATGGAGGCTCCATTTGATAGGCTCCTGTGATAGGTTATTCCTCTCCAACCACTCTTCCACAAATTCCTGCATTTGCCCTTAAAAGTATGTAGCCTTGAGGTCTGCAGCCAGCATGCAAACTGCACAAGAAATGACATGTACTTTGCAAAAACAAGGAGAAGTTATTTGCCCCACTCCCTACCCCCAGGAAGAGCACCACTTCAAACAATTCCCCACCCCCAGTCCTGAAAAGCTGGACTTGTCCCAGGGGTTGCCAGGCGGGGGACGGTAACAGGTCAAATTGAACCATGCATAAAGGTTATGGTGAGCACCCATGTCTTTTCAATAGGGGAATATTACACCATCCTCTCCCCACCACCACCCACTGGAAAATTTGCTGAAGGAGGCTCTTTTTCATAAGCCTCTGATTACCACAAGCTTGCAAGGTCAAATTTACATCAAAAGAAAAAAACAACAAAAACTAGTCTAGAGGCTTCCCTCATAACCGGCACATGCATATTGAATACTTATACATCTCTTTCCAAGATCGGCCCATACCTTTTTGGCAGCTTAATTCCACAAAGTTCTTTTCCATGAACTCGAAAGCCATTCTTGATAATTCTTGACTTGATATCATTTCAGCAACTGTCATGACTTCCACACAATTTTTTGTGTTAATTTTTCTGCCGATGTAATCGACGCAAATCTTTTCCGCTCCATTGAATAACAACATGTTGGCAGCGACTAACACAGCTTTCACTTGAGTTAAAGATTTCAAATCCATTTTACAGGTGTAAGCATATTCGATCAACAATTTCAAAACGTGTGACTCCAAAGGAATTTTGATTTTTTCTTCCTTTGATTCTCGCATTTCGTTAGTAAACATGGCTTGAAAATATGAGCTACAAGCCGCCAAAACAAGTCTGTGTACTTTGAAGAGTGCTCCATCACAACTTTCCAAAACAACATCACAAAGGATTTCGCTCGTCCTAAACTCCTCCATTCTTTCAAGACATTGCAATGCATGCAAATGCCCCTTGTCGACATTTCTTGTTCGACGAGAGGAGGGGTTGCTTGTGAATTTGTTCGACAATTTGTTCTGTTTTGGTCTGGAAGCCATAGTTAGAACACTCTTGTGGCACGTGGGGATCTCGCCCCAGCTTACCGCGGTCGTCTTTCGTAATCGATCTCTGATCGCTGTTTCGGCTTTGTGGACATCATCTGACTACAGCTTTCACATTGTCGGCTTGAATGTTAAGAGAACACTCTTCTTAACGAGGTAAGATATTTACTTATTACTTATTTTTCTTGTGCACAGTTGTCTATGTGAAGCTGTGAAGATATGAGCGCAATTTTACAGTTTGCATGCAGTCACATCAATGATACAGGCGGGATTGTTTGCAATGTGCAATAATTTTTGCACTCGCCATGACGATGAAACTTAATGCCATTAAACTCGGGGTTGTTTCAACGCCTTTATGAACCTAAAGGCGATAATTTGGTGATTCCTTAAAGAAGGTGTTCTCGTTGCATTTGGAAAGAAGATCAAGGGATGGTTTATGAAACGTTCTGCTTCATTTTGTGTATGTCACACAACACCGACATACCTGTTACAATTTTTTAATTCTTCTCAACCAGAATCGAATATGGATCAAAGTCAAAACAAAAGTGATCAGATGATGAAGCGTTTGTTGACAGCATCCTTACTACTACTGATCTGATAGTATTCAATATATTTTCTGCTGCAAAATGGAAGATGATGTACTTATCAGCGGCCATCTCATGGGGTGAGGGGGGGGGGGGTGTCAACCCCAGGGATATTTTGTTATGCGGGTCGTTAGCATTCCTGCAAATTTTAAGTGTGGGATGGGGGACAAAATTGCTTTTGCACTTTCATAGTAGGATATCCTGGGGAAAAACCCCTGAGAATTTGGAATGCACCTATTATGAATCTAATCTCGTACCCAGATCTCCCACGGCCAAAACAGAGTGAAATCTGGGTACGAGATTATTATGAATCCTACAAGAACAATGTTGTCCTTTCCAATTCCATGATTTACAAAAGAACAGGGAAGTGCATTTCTTGGCTTTTTTTTTATCAGCCCCCTCCATTACAAATTATTCTATAAAGCAGAATTTTCATTATAAATAGAAGAAACTTTTCATTGCTATTTGGAAGTCCCTTGAAATACTGCACTTTGTGACAGATTCCATTCATCTGAACCAAATTGCCCTAGGGGAAGGGGTGATGGAGGCTTTTTTGTCAAAAAATGTTGTTCTTGGGTGGGGGAATTTATTGATGTTGTTGCCAGAAGTGGGTTGATCGCTCAAGATGACCACTGATGAGTGCATTAAACAGATCCTGAGAAAATTTAAATTTTTTGTTGATTATTGAACAGGCCTTCCTTGAGCTAATATGTGAGCTGGAGAGGGTGAGGCAAATACTGTATTCTGATTGGCCAGTCAACTGGGCAACATTAGCCTATCTTCCCTTCTATATTCGTCAAGAAAATATATAATATTCCTTTTATTGACCAAGCTTGTTTGGTTAAGATGGCTGAATATTAGCCTTTGTGTTTTCTAGCAAGGCTCTTGGCTCTCACTCCATAAGAATGCCAGAAAATAGTTGGCCAATCTCCAGCCATCTTGATGGTCAGTGATGTAAAATATGTTAAATTTCATACGTAGTGCACTGCAGCACTTGAGTCATCCTTCTGAATTTCTATTTTTTCTGCCAATTGTCACCTGTAACACATGTCATTCTTCCCTCCCTATACAGAATACTGATATGAGTAGTAATAGGCGACTTAAGCTGATTGCTGGCCACTTGGACAAATCTGGGAAAACAGGTGTGTCTTCACAAGACTGTGCAGCTACATCTCCAGAAGCCAAACCACAGTCTCAAAACAAGATTCCAGGTAGACAAGATATTCTCAAGTGGAATGGTTGGGGTTACAAAGATTCTCAGTTTGTGATTAAGGATGGCAAAGCTCAATTCACTGGCAGTCGATACCTTCTTGGAGGACTTACTTTTCCTAAATTAGCAGACTGGTTTACTAAAGAGTGCCATGCAGACATAAACATTAGTTCACCTTCCAAACCTCTCCCTGATCCAAGCACCTTACCAACTTCACAGATAAACCAGCCCTTCTTCAATTGTGTCAAAGAGTCTGGAATTCAATTTACTCTCGACCCTCACACGAGGCTCTTTCATGGTCATGGGCATACTTGCCATGAGATTTTCGAGCTCCGTCACGGCATGCTTCACCGCATCCCTGACATCGTCATTTGGCCAAACTGCCACAAGGATGTGGAAAAAATAGTACGACTGGCTGTGGAACACAATGTCTGTATTATTCCCTTTGGGGGAGGTACAACTGTGTCTCACGCGCTAGAGTGTCCGGTGGAAGAGAAGAGGATGATTGTGTCACTAGACATGACTGAGATGAAGAAGATTCTTTGGGTTGATGAAGAAAACTTAGTAGCTCACATTGAAGCAGGGATTATTGGACAAGAACTGGAGAGACAGGTGGGTAGTAGCTTGACTTTTTAAGTCAACCCCTTTGGGTTAACAGTATTGGGGTGGGGGGTGGGGTAGCTTGTAAGAAAAAATTTAGGTTTGTTGATCCCCTAGCTATACTCCAAGGCTGTGCTCTAGCAGAGCATGGTGGCCCGTGGCGCCTAACTTTTGTTCTTGGGCGACTAGAAAATCTTAGCTTTTACATAGAAATCATATGCTGGGCACACTGGATTTCACAAGTTTAGAGTACTGGGCTCCCTTCAATTTTTCCTAGAGCACAGCCTTGTGCTCCCTCTGCCTTGGTCTGCCTTTCCTATATCTGTAGATGGTCAAACCATTTCATGGCTTGAATAAACACATGGTGAGATGCAAACACAGGATGCCACTAATTACAGTGCGACTACTCGAACCGGAGCACTTGGGAGAAGATTATCCAATCACAACGTTTTTTGAAAACAAAATATTCTCAAGTTTTTTTTGCAAACAGACCAATAACCTTTAAGGTGCAACTATCCAACTGTTTAAAACTTTAAAACCGTTTGAACTTACCTGACCTCTTAGGAAACAGCATTCAAATTCTTGAATGCTATTGGTCCATTTGCAAAAAAAAACTTGAGAATCCTTTGTTTTCAAAAACCGTTGTGATTGGATAATCTTATTCCAAGGGCCCCGGTTAAAGTAGATGCATTGTAAGAACCATTATGATTATTGGCCCATTACTACATCTTAATTTGCAACAGAAAAAGAGGTCAGAAACACTGAGTAAGGTTGGTTATGATTCTATTAATTTTTCGTCTAATAAAAGTTTTTAGTGGTAAGTAACTGGAGTGGTTTGCTTAGAATTATGAACTTTGAGTGAACATGCGATTAGGGTTGACCTTTTTTGACATTTCCAAACTTTTCTTCTTTTCATTTGAAAATCATGCGATCAAACTCAAACTGGTATGGCGTAAACTGTTCATGATCTATAATTAAAATTGCTGGAAGGGTTGTTAAGAAACATGGTCAACTTGAAGCTTATTTCCACCAATAACTGGCCATTTGTCTTTTTTTAGTTGAATGCAAGAGGTCTTTGCGTTGGTCATGAGCCTGATTCCTTGGAGTTCAGCTCTCTTGGAGGCTGGGTTGCTACTCGTGCTTCTGGAATGAAAAAGAATATCTATGGCAACATTGAAGACATCCTGGTGCGAGTCAGAATGGTTACGCCGAGAGGGACTGTGGAGAAAAGCTGCCAGGTTCCCCGTATGTCCACAGGCCCGGATATTCATCACGTCATTCTAGGCTCGGAGGGTACGCTGGGCGTAGTAACGGAGGTGAGCCTACGAATTCGGCCGCTCCCTGAGTGTAAAGTGTATGGGTCAATAGTTTTTCCCACATTTGACATCGGAATTGCCTGTGTGAGAGAGATTGCGAAGCAGCGATGTGCACCAGCTTCAATTCGCCTGATGGACAATGAACAGTTCATGTTTGGACAGGCTTTGAAGCCGGAGGGTGGGTCGTATTTTAAGTCATTTCTTGATGGTCTGAAGGCTGTTTACCTGACGAAGTTTAAAGGTTTTGATCATCATCAGCTGTGTGTTGCCACCTTGTTGTTCCAAGGTGACAAGCAACAAGTCGCAGACCAACAAAGAAGAATCTACGACATCGCCTCTCGTTATCGAGGCATCCCTGCTGGTGAAGAAAACGGCCAAAGAGGGTACATGCTGACCTTCGTGATTGCTTACCTCAGGGACCTAGGCTTCGAGCATCATTTCCTGGCCGAGTCATTTGAAACCTCTGTGCCCTGGGATCGAGTCTCTGATTTGTGCCGCAACGTGAAAGAAGCACTCAAACGAAAATGCGCGGAGCTTGGAATCAAGTACCCACCCCTGGCCACTTGCCGTGTGACGCAGACCTATGACGCTGGCGCATGCGTGTATTTTTATTTTGGCTTTTATTACCATGGGCTGTCCAACCCACTGGAGCTCTATGATCAGGTGGAGAGTGCAGCGCGAGACGAAGTGCTGGCTAATGGTGGAAGCTTGTCTCATCATCACGGAGTCGGTAAGTTGAGGAAGAAATGGCTGCGGCAGACCGTATCTGATGTGGGCATAGAGATGCTACGAGGAATCAAGCGAGCTGTAGATCCTCAGAATATATTTGGAAATGGCAACTTGCTGTAATTTCACTTATTTCAACTTCATGGGTGCTGATTCATTCATGATAATTTGAAACTTTGATTTAATTGCACTTGGGACTTCCGACTGGGAATTCTTCCATGTAAGGTGACAAAGTCTGTATACTGGAAAAAGGGGGTTTCTCGGTGGATGGAGGATGTCTGGTGTCACTGATTGTTAGAGAAACCGTTGTACGTTGTCTTTTTGTATAAACTTGGCGTAAAGATTCTCTGAACTTCACTGTGATTGTGAATAATTCTAGCCGTTCTCGTCCAGTATTTGGCCGAAATCTTGTCACGTGATTTAAGTATGTTGCTTACAAGAACGGCTTCAAGCGTTTTCATGGTATTGTATCAAAGTGAACACTAAAACAGAAAAAAATGTTCAAATTCCTTTTATATTGTTCTAAATGGACATAAATGTTATGCCTCAACCTAATTGCAG